GTTTGCTTCCCTTGAGTATTTGAAAAAGATGCTTGGATAAGGTTGAGCTATTACTCAACTAAACTCAGTTATGGATAGTTCAGATTGAAAGGTATCCACTGAGGGAAGTGATATATTCTCTTATTAACACTTCCTTCTGTCAGGTGTTATACCAACTTCATCAAAGACAGCAGCATAGAACCTTGACTGAAGAAAAAATTGTGTTTAGATCCCTCCCTATTTTGAACTATAAAGGAAGATGTTACTAAGCAACTCTTGATGCTCCTGATTATCTAGGGCTCTCTCGATCTGCTTTTAAACCAGATAATGACATGGAGATACTTTTGGTCACTCTGATGGTCAACATGTTGAGAATGTATGGGCTTGTGTTCCTCAATCACTTGGCCTATGATACCACTTATAGTATTTTACTAAATTGCCTAAAGAAGGGATGTCAAACTGGTGGCCCACAGGCTGGATGTGTCACATAATGCTAATTCTTTCATTGCTTTTAGTCCTGTTTATCATAAAAATTACTGTGAATGAATTCAAATATTAATGTCAAGGCAAGATGTGGGATTAAGTACATGCACCAGCAAAATGATACAAGCTCACATTTCCACATTTCCCATATTCTAGCACCCTGAATTAGCAAAACTATAAATTGCTCATAGAACATTTGGCCCACAAGCAAGAATAAAATTCACCCAAGGCTGTACTCTTACAAGGCTATGTTTTCTATTATGCAAAGTCAAAATTTGAAATTCACTTTTAAAGTAATTTTCAAACTGCAATTTGTTGGACTGTTATGATAAACTGTAACAGGACAAATCAGAAATGCTACATTGAGTACAGCAGTCTCCCCAAAGATGGCATTCTTCAAATAAAGACTGTACATCTTCAGAGTTCTCATGTAAGATAGGATAGAATTGATTAGTAAGGTGATGGGTCATTGATACTCTGAGTTTGATTGTTTTTTTGCAGACATTACCCGAACTAGGTAACATGATGATATAACCTAATCTGCATAATGAAACATCTGCAAGAAAACTACGTAACTTAGAGAGCACAAAAGGACCCCTCATTTCAACCCTGAGCTGCAAATATTTTCCTCCATCAATTAGTAAGCTGTTGGAGATGGTAGTAGCTTTTCAGCAGGAATGGGAAGTTCCAACCAAAGGCTTGATTATCTCATGAAACATATATTTTAGTGGTATATGATATCTGTGGAAAAGGCATTCCTTTTATATATCCAAATTCAGAAGCATAAGCACAGAGAAATGAGCTACTTCCCATTTCTTTATACACGGAGGTGAATATAGAAGTGCTGGTCTGGAAAAAGCAATTGAGACTTCTCTATCATCAAATCAGTGCATTCTTGAGAACTCTTATAAAGTACTTCATCTGACTTTCATGGTGAAAGTAAACATGCTTTTTCCTCCTCTGATACCAGTAACAGGAAACATTTGTGTATGCTTCAAAAAAGATTAATAAATATCGCATCCATGAGAATGGGTCAAATAAGCTAGTGCTATCATTAGCTTTGGTTTCTCCTACTGTGAGTGGAGGGGGTGGGTGGGAGAAGGAAGTAGTGTATGCAATAAAACTTGGCCTATGATTACAGAAATTCCCAGGACATTTAAAAAAACAACAAGAAGTCATTGGAAACAGTTGCTAAGTAATATTTCTACCTAAGTAAACAATACAAAGCACTGTTTCTCACATATACACACCTCTGAACTTTGTCACTTTCTAAAGACAAGTCAGTAGAAAAAGCGGAATTTTTCCAAAGTTATGAACCCACCAAAGAAGGACTTTCCAAAGTTATAAACTCACCAAAGAAAGCCTATTTAAGATCATGTGGGCTAGAAACTCTTTTTGTGCTAGAAGGCAAAAGCTTTCCCAACAGACCTAGACTTCAAAGATCAGCCCCTTGAATAGAATGAATATTCTCATTCACTCTATTCACCCGGGGGTTTTTTGTAGAACATTTCCTCTTCGTGTTCCATGAATTCAGCATATGCCTGTCTTTATACTAGTGCAGGGGTCTCCAAACTTGGCAACTTTAAGACTTGTGGACTTCAACTCCCAGAATTCCTCAGCCGGCCAATTCTGGGAGTTGAAGTCCTCAAGTCTTAAAGTTGCCAAGTTTGGAGACCCCTGCACTAGAGAAATTGAAACAAAATACATAGGATATCCCAAAAAACATAGGGTAAACAAATAAGGCTGAATGTCCATTCTTTCAGAATTGACAGGGGTTTTTCTTCCCCCAGTGGATATATGCAAGGCTAAAACTGGGGGAAAGGACACTGTGCCATGGTAACAAAAATGAAAAATACAAATTTGGGGAAAAACATTTCCTTGGCAAAAATCAATATCAAAACAAATGACAGGACTTTGATATATTTTGTCCATGAATTAAACAAAGGGGACTTGAATAGAATTTGGTGAACAATACGCAGGGTTTTTATGGTAGAAACAGAACGCTTGGACATTGTAGGGAAACATATGGTCCAGTCTATATATCATCAGGTGCAACTATGGCCTGAAAAAACATTTACTCAGCAAATAGGTACGTACTGAGATAGACAAGGAAGCAACAGCTTTTCCAATAGGCTTCTACCACATGTCTAGAAATCACGGTAGAAGTGAACTAAAACCACAACTTCTGAGTAATCATTTTGAAGAAAAACGTTCTATTAGGCCAGGGGTCTGCAACCTTGAACACTCAAAGAGACATTTTGGACCCGTTTCCCACAGAAAACAAAACACTGGGAACCATAAAACCTGGGTGGCCACGGCCAACACATGGTCACTCATTCCCACCCAGTCACATAACTCCCCCAGCCACACTTACCCAGGTTTTGTAGCTCCCGCTATTTTCTTTTCTCAGGTATCTCTCTCTTGCTCTGTGTGTCTCTCTCCCCTCTCTTTCCCCCTCTCTCTCATATCTCTCTCTTTCTCTCTCTTACCTCTCTCTTTCTCCCTCTCATCTCTTTCTCCCTCTGTCCATTCCCCTCTCTCTTCCCCCCCTCTCTCCGTCTCCTCTTTCTCCCTCTCTCAACTTTCTCTCTCTCTCTTTCTCTTTTTCTCCCTCTCCCTCTCATCTCTCTCTCTCATCTCTCTCTCACACACATCTCTCTCTTATCTCTCTCTCTGTGTCTCTCTCTCTCTCATTTCTTTCTCCCTCCCTCCCTCCCTCCCTCTCTCTCTCGTGTGTGTGTGTTCCCTCTTGAACCATTTCCAAAATCAGGCGAGGGTTGGGTTTTGTTTTTGTTTTTTGCTGATATTGTTCTTTCTTCTTCTTTGGGTGCTTTTTTATCATGTGATTTTAATCAAGAGTCATTTCAAGTTCCCAGATAAATGACGCCTTGCTGTGGCTCCCTGTCAGCTGAACCCACCACTGGCTGGTCCTGCTCCTCACTCTCCCTTTGCAGTCGTTCTTCACCTGCCCTGAGAAGGAAATGGCGACGGCGGCAGATGGAGACTCACTACGTATTTCAGAGTGGGAGCAAAGCGCCCCTCTACTTGCCTCTTCTTCTGGGCCTTCTTGGTGCTGCACGTACCCGGGGAGACGTGCAACTTTCTCTCTGCCTTGAGACACTGGCCAGGACGGCTGCAGCCGATGCTCCCATCATATTGGGCTCCAGGAGGAGGGGGGGGAATACTGCACAGTGCTGCAAGAGCAGTGAGCAAGCCATAGAGGCGGCAAGAGGGATATGGAAGAAGAGACAAGTAGAGGGGTGCTTCACTCCCACTCTGGAATACGAAGCGAGTCTCCATCCGTCGCCGTCGCCCTTCCCTTCTCAGGGCAGGCGAGGAGTGACTGTGAGGGGAGGGTGAGGGGAAGGCCAAGCCAGTGGTGGGATCGTCTGACAAAGAACCACAGGAGAGGGCCCAAAGAACCACATGCGGCTCTAGAGCCGCAAGTTGCTGACCCACGTATTAGGGCAATAGGCTATTTGCAACAAATGCCTTTAAAAGTTGGGAAATATACCCAGGAAAAGTTCAGCAAATCATGATAGTTTGTCAAGTTAATATTTTTATAAGTTGTTTATCCACAAGTACTACTACCCAAAATGTTTTGGCCTTGTAAAACAAATGAATAAATGGAAAACAGAACCTGGAAGAGAGCTTGAGATTATAAATAATGAGTTTAGTAATCAATCAAAAATAGTTTTAATTGCTTCTTCCCTTCTAGTAAGCCCTGAACATTGGCAAGCTATTTCAAATAGGCGTGATAAAGTTTACAAGACAGCCAGCAGATACATAGATGCAATCAATTAGTACAATAAGCACTTTTCTGCACTAAAACCAACATTTTAAAAAGTCATCCAGCTGGCAAATGAAGCTGCCTTTGGACTCAACACCGGCTCAAGGTTCACACACACACACAGGCATGCTCATACATAGGTAAAGAGTAAATCGTCAAGCAAAACAACACAATCAGTCCACCTATGCACACGGGAGGAACCATCCAAACAGCTACTTTTATGTTGCATTTAGGAATATTAAGAAAGCCTTACACCCAATCATAATATTTGTTCATCAACCCAAGCGTTTAAGGTATAATTTATTACAACTCTTCAACATCTCAGATGAAAGTGTTTCCAAGGGTTTGTTAGATGATCCTTCCAGCTAAAGATAGAAAACTACAGAATTTGAGTATTCATCCTGTATTACCTATATGGGACACAATTATTTCTTCTTCAAAGTCAGATGAAGAATAGCCATTTGCTGTAGGATAGAAAGGGTTCAGAGATTTACAGACCATTAGTATGCAACATATAGCATTCCAGACATCGTTGGAATTACAACTTGCAGCAGCCTCCAGCTATCATGATGAAGGATAAGGGGAACTGTAGATCAGCAATATCTGGTAGTAAGACACTTGATTAAACTAGAATTGTGCCAAAGCAGCTGGAATGGGAGACCAATAAGAGAGCATTTTACAAAATAAGTTGTTTTCAGGACAAGCAAAAGAAATGATATATAGCAATAGCCTGAATTCATCAACTTACCTCTCTGGCAATGGGCATGACTCCAACAACGCTCAGTGAAATCACCATTGACCACAGTTTGAGGACAGGTGCTTTTCCCTTGCATTGTTCCTGGGCATACATGTCCACACTCATTATTATCTTTGTTAGCAACAATATAATTATCTTCTACAGAGTCCAAAATCCGAGACCAGTCAATGGTTGACAAAAAGCAGAGCTCAGCATTCTTCTCAATCCGTACAGACCCTCGGGTAATGTTCATCAGGCTGTAAAGGCCAATCTCTTTCAAGTGAACCATCTCAAAGATGACCAAAGCATAGTTGAAAAAGAGATGAGTCCCACGGATCACAGTCAGATTGGGGAAAAGCCTCCTGAAGCTCTCCACACCGTAGACCCGGAATAGCAAGACGTATTCAGTTACCATTGTCAGCATAGGAAAGCTGAGATCTCGAAAATCCTCAGCCTTAGTTCTGAACAAAAGCAAGATCTGCAAATGTCCCTCAACCACAGTACAATTCTCAAGCAGGCTGAAATTGGTCATGTTATTCCGGATGTCTATACTTGGACAAACTGGAAGAAAGAAAAGGAAAGTATTATTTTCAAACTGATACACATTCCACGGATTTGTCTATTTTCAATCTTACAGTCATCTTTATAACTAACCACCCATCCAAACTTTACTCATTTAAAGTCTTCTTTGTAACACAAGATACAGGTAGTCCTCGTCTTATGACTACTATTGAGACCCGAAATTCAGTCGTAAGGCATTGCAGTTGTAAGTTGAGGCATTTACATGATTGAATTTGATCTTACAACCATTTTTATGGTCGTTGTTAAGCATGTTGTCGTAAGACCGAATCCATTCTCCTGAATGAGCATTTCGTACTGGAAATTGGCAAAAAGACAGAAACCACCATAAAAGAACATTGCAAATCACAGTCATAGGTTAACAGGATGCTGCAACTGAGTAAAAATGTGAGCTGGGTTCCGAGTGCCTGAAATGCAATTATGTGACCACAGGAGTGGAGGAGGTGAACAGAACCTTATGACACCTGGAAGTGCTTTATGAGCCATAAATCATCCTCTCTGAGGTTGTTGTAACTACAGGTGATCATTAAATAAGCAGTTGTAAGTCAAGGGCTACCTGTACTCCAAATACAAATTTTCTTGTAAAAACAGATAGTAAAACTAAAATGTTACTAAATTCACTATACTCTGCTAACACTGTGATAGACAACATAGCAAGCAACTAATACAATAGCCAACATCTCAGGGATTTACTGTTTCAATACAGTCACAAGCCACTGCCCAATATTGTAAATAAAACCAGCTAACTACCGGTATAATCAGGCAGAAATACGTAATTCTTGTTTTTTCTTTATTTTCAGAAGATGTGCTATGTATCATTCACTGTTTAAAAAGGAATGAACTTTTTGGCCTCATTCTCATTGCAGAAGCTAGTCTGTGGCAGCTTATACTTTCAAATTTCAGATGGTGACTGCATGCAATAGAAAGGTCTCCTAAGAGAGTGGGCCTCCCTACAAACTCTGTGAGAAAGACACCTTAGCACCATTTCCCAGTTTATCGCAACCTTCAGTTTCAAATCATTTGGATGATCTAACATAACAAATCCAACATACATTCAGATCCACCACACCTTTTAATTCTTAACAACTCTTGCCTTTAAAAAAATTTAAATACTGTTTTTACACTTTTAATATTTTATTGTACACTGTCCAGAGACTCTCTGTGGGGTGAGATGGGAAGTTCTTAAATATGATAGATAGATAGATGATAGATAGATAGATAGATAGATAGATAGATAGATAGATAGATAGAT